TGAGAAAAGAGTGGGTGATGTTAGGAAAGAAGGATTAAATTTTGAATATCTTTCATATCGATGACAGAAGTCAAGAAATAAAATAATTTTATTGCTCTTAATTAATCATATAAATGTGGTATTCCTCATCATATTGGTTGATCTCAAACTCATTTATCTCTTCTTGAACGTGCTTAAACGTGAGGTCTACTTGGAAATAAGTCGCCTTTAATAATCTCTCTGCTTGTTCTTTTACTATACAAATAACGAGTACATGGCTGTCTCCAAACATATCTATTTGCCAAAATAGATATATTGTAGGCTCAAAATCAAATTAGAAAGTTAAGCACAAAATAAAACTTACTCATTTTTCTAACACATCCATTTATATTATCTGTATTAACTGTAAGTACGTATGCTAGTCCCATTATACTCTATCCATAAGGATGTACCTCTTTGTGTACTTTTGATACCAGATAGCGTAATTTATCAATATTATTTAGTGACACGTGCATTTCACTTAATAGATCAACTCCAAAAAATCCTTTGATTAAGTTTCCTATAATACAATAAAGTAAGCCTACAATATCCATGTGCATCAAATAAATTTCTTTCATTGAATATTGATTTATCAGAAAGTATTTTTTGCAGAGTAATATCAGCCATATCTTCATGTGCTGTTTTAATCAGTTCAACTAGTCTCTCTTGTATGACGTAAGGAATATTGGTAGGTGGTGATGGGGGATGTGTATGGGTTCTAACTGATATTAAGGTTACAAAAGAATATGCTTGCAAGTCATAGAGTGTTAATCAATAAAATTTGATATTACACGTTTAGTGAATCAAAGGTGATTGATAAGGTCGACCATTTGTATCAATATGGATATGTCCTAAATTAAACAAATTTTTACAGATGCTTATATTATAATGAATATAATAAACCAACAATGAATACTAACCACAAGTTTTGAGGCCAGTATTTCAAGGTAAAACCATTTGACAATAATTAGTTCTATTTGTTAGAGTAAAATCCTACAGAGAAAATTAGATAATTAAATTCTTATTCAAATGCAATTTGATTATACAAAATATATACTAACCTTTCCTTCTAAAAGCTGCTCAAATAGATTAATATCCACATTTTCATTCAATGGTCTAAACTGATACCTTTTTTCACCAAGCTGCCAATTATCACATCCCACAAAATATCTTTCTCCATTTGATATTGATTGTGCAAGCTGTTAAACTGGACTATTTTCCACAGTTAGGATATAGTCTTGTAGATCTGAATAAACTCGAAGCCATTTCAGGATGGGAAGACTATTACATGTATTGTTATCACTTTGATGCTTGCATTTAATCTTCATCATAGCGAGATATTCTCTAAAGGTAATAAGTTATTAAACCTATCAATATAAAAATGAATTACATGTAAACAACTTACATATATGTATTTATTTCACGATCGATTAAGCATTCATTATTTTTTAGTCATTTGAATTCATCAGAATCAAAATCGATATCATTGTGACAACTATTGTATAGTTCCAGATCAGTTTGTTCACAAACCATAATACCTTGGCATGTTCTTTCATTTTTTTTTATTTCAATATTATTAAAATATGAACTGTGGGAATTGTTTTGTCTGCCTGGGCTACCGATAGAATATTAAATCTATATACACACAAAAAATAATCAGTAATCTTATAAGAAATAAAGATTTTTTATAATAAATCTTACATCATGAAAAAATTCAGTCACTTTGGTATGCAAGGCAGCATGGTCACTTGATGTTTGTTCCAAATTAAATATAATAGCCACACCGTCGTCCGTTATTGGAGGGTATTCTATAGGTAATGCTGAATATATAACGTTTTTTACTTTTAGATCCCACGTAAACTGATAAAAATCAAAATTTTTTTCTTTGTCTGAACTAAGCACCTAGGTTAATAAAATTATTAGAAAGGTCTATTTTTCTTGCTTTACATTAAATTATTTAATTTATTTATGTATTCAAAAGTTTTCAGATCAACAAAATCGGTTACTTATATGCCATCAAAAAAAACTTCACTTTCTTCCATTTTAAAAAGTCAAGAATGTGTGAGTAAAGATATAATTGAATCTAGTTTAAGTAACAAGCTACATGTACCTCTTCATCTCATTTAGGTCAAAAATTTCTTTGATCAGAAAATCTCTTTTCACTTTGGTAGGTAGAGTATACTAAGAACAGTAGAAATTTGAATTTCATATCAAAACGTAGCCGTGACCAATAGAGATATCATGTAATTAAAATGAAAGGGTTTTTAATAAAATACGCTTGCTTATTTAACTAAATCAAAAGAAATTTGACTTGAGTTAAAAATATATTAGTTTAGGACATACAATATTAATATATATACATATATATATATATACTAGTTTTGTAGGTATGGTATGGTTTTTTGTATTTTAATGTTAACATAATTAACTATACTATATTACCATGCTCAAATATATCATACTTAAATAGAGTATATCTGAAAAGAGTAATCCCATCTTATTTAACTAAATAAGATATCAAGATTATATTATTTATCAAATAATTCAAGACTAAAATAAAAAAAGTTAATAATTATTATTATATTAAATTTGTGATAATCAAAAAAATATGAATATCATCTAATTCTTATGAATATGCTAATTCAATAGGAGAATCAAACTTGTCTGACTGATATAATAAAAGTATTAAATTTAAAAAGGAAGAAATATTATAAGAATTAATATTTTAGAAAATAGTTTTATCCAAGAAACCTAATATCACTAAACCAGATTATATTAAGACAAAATGGAGAAGAAAACAGATCAAAATAAAAAATATTATATGTTAAGTTTTAAGATTAGAGCTTAATAAATTAGTTCTAGAGAAGAAAGAATAGCATATATAAAAAAATTCAAATAAAAAATTCATATTTTGATATATAGATCATATAAAGAGATTTTTATATTATCTAATTAAGATAATAGCTTATTACTAAATATTTTATATAAAGAAAGTTTTTGAGTTATGATGAATAAGTTACTATTATTTGATTTACATATCTATTTGTCAGATTAAAATAAAATTTTAATAATAGTAAGTACTTTTAATATATGAGATATATATTTAATAACTATTTTTATATTATATATTTTTGATTAAAATATAATTTTGAGTAAGTAATAGATTAAAATAATCATATTATAAAATGTAATATATATATAATATACTTTAAACAGTACTAGTAAAGATAACTTATGCTAAAAAATCTTGAACTATCAAAATAAATTATTATAGAAAAATTATATTATTACTTTTTGATAAGTTAAATATAATATATTTTTTAAATTATCAAAATAAAATTATATTATATATAGAAATTATGCTTTGATGAGTTAAATATGATATATCTTCTAAGTATATATTAATAAATTGCTAAATATTTTTAATATAAATATTATTTCAAATAAAAAAAAGTAAAATATAAGTATTCCAAAATAGAGTATGCATATAATATATAAAATTATACTTTGATAGGATATCAAAGATTTTTCAGTATAAGTAATATTTTGAGTAAAAAAATAAGTAATCAAGAAATAATTATTATAAATAAAAGATATAAAATTATATTTTGATAAGTTAGTAAATAACTATTATTTTAAGTAAAAAAAAATGAGATATCAAGATAAAATTATTCTAAATATATATAACAAAATTATACTTTGATGAGTTATCAAGTAAGAATAATAATTTGATACTATATATTTTATTCTTGAATAATATTTAAATAAATTATATAAAGTTAATAACTACTAATAATTTGATACTATGTATCTTATTCTTAATTAATATTTAAATATATTATATAAAGTTAGATTATAAATATTATTTTAATATTATATATCTTAAATTTGACTTTCATCAAGAAATTAATCAGAAAGCTAAGATATTATATATCAGATTTAGGCATAGTTCTCATATTAGACTCACAAATAATAATATATAATCTAATATATTATTAGTATATTTTTTTTGTTCATGTGATTCAATTATAAAAATTAGTTATAATTACTAAATTAGTATATAATATATTATATGTGATAATAAAAATTAACCATGATCATTAAGTCATAGCATATCACAATGACTCTTAAATGATAATGTAAATATAATTTACATATTACTTAAATTATTAAAAGAAAGTAAATATTAAGCTTATTAAAGATTAAAATAAGTAGCTATAAAATAAGTAGGTAACAGTATATCTATAAGTAAGTAATAATATACTTATAAGTAGATAATAGTCTAGTTTAAGTAAATAACAATATATATATATTATTGCTTACTGCTTTAATTAATTAAAAAAGTTTGATTAATTATAAAGAAAAAGTTATAAAATCTGATTTTTATTTGAATTTTTTAGTTATTAAAGATAAATTACTATATATTTTTAATAAAAGATTATGACTAAAGTTATTATTAATTTTTGAAAAATATTACTTGAAAAGACTATAAAATATAAATATAAAGAATCAAGCAATAAATATATTATTAATTAAAAATAATAATAATAATTTCAAAGTTAAGAAAATTGATGATTAATAAAATTTTTTATAGAAATTAGATATTTTAATAAAAGTTATATAAAAATATTGCTTAAAATCTATATGATAAATAATATTATTTAAATATTTATATTAAGTTAGTTAAAAAAATTTTTTATTATAAGTATATTGATATATTTATATTTTTATACTGGATTATATAATAAATATTAATTAAACTTGAAATATAATAAATTTCAAATTTAAAATCTATTTAAAATAAAATTCTTTTAATATAATAAATTTATTAATAAAATCATGATATAATAAAAGTTTAAGTATCAAGTATTACTAAGTATATGAATTCTAATTCTGAATTCTAATTATAAATTCTAATTCTAAATATTTTTTAATATTGATAATTGTATTTTTAATTTTCTTGAATCTTAATTACAAAAATCTTAGTTTAAATACATATAACTTCTTGATAATAATGTTACATAATAACGAAAATCGGATAATATTAATTCTAATGAAAAGATAATCAATGATAATTCTCCAATGCTCTTTCCAGCAGAAGCAGCGCCAGACTCGATCCAAATTACACCTATCAATAACGACAATAACGACGAAACCCCATTTAATAAACAAGTGAATTAATGAACATGCAATTATTAAAAATACTGGCGTCATCTAATCTTCTTTGAGCATTGTTTGCGTATGATTTAAACATCTCATACATCTCTTCCCATTTCAATTTTAAATCGTCTTTATTGATAATCGGATCATCTGCGGTATTTTCCTTTTGCAATACAGCTTCATCAGCCAAACCTCTCCATACAATTTCGAATTGTTTTACATTTTCACTTATGTTAGATATTTTTTCAATCAATTTACTTTTAGTATTGACGACGATTTCTGTTTTTTTAGCTTCAGCTTTTATCTTTTCATTGGCATGAACTGCTACAGTGGAAGCAAGGGCGGCAGCAATTAAACTGGCACCACTTGTTAATGGCGCAGCAACTATCGCAGCCCCAGAGACGATGCCCGCTATTGTTCTTCTAGTTTTCAAATTTTCGGTTAATTGTTCTGATTTTGATGCTGAATGTTTATTTTGTCTGTCGCTTTCTGTCGCGATATCGAGTAATTTTTGTATAAGATCTTCATATTCCTCAGCAAGTTCCCGAGTGTCATTGGCAATTCGGCTAGCGGATTTTATTAGATTATCACACTTTTTATTTTCTAAGCCCGTGGACGAATAAGTTTCAATACAGAATATTATTTTTTTCGCTAACTTAGCGGAAAGTTTACTGATCGTTATACTTTTTAACAAATAATTTTCTGAGAACTTTGCGTTCGGTTAAAAATGCCCAAACGAGATGTTCTGTTTCTTGGTCGTAAGTAATCGGAAGAGAACGTCCATCGAATGCGTCGAGAGCTTGTTTGATTGCAATTTGTAGCCCTGGTATATCAAAGATTTTTAATGATTGAATTTTCGCATCAAAATTAAACATTCTACAACAAGAGTTTTTGTTTTACTACATAAGTGACGTTTTGTAAGTTAATTGGATCGGTATATTATCACGTGAAAATGAAAATCAGAGTCCTGTGAAAACTAACGCTAACTATATCGATATAGATCTGATTTTATAATAAGAAATACAAAATTCTGATTTAAAATAAAAAAACAATGAAAATAATCATGTTTTATTGTGAAAGGGAATCAAAATGATTGAGCGAAAGTTGTGATACCATTTGTCAACGTCTAATAATTGTCCCTGAAATTTTTTGTGTTCGTCTCGTCTGGTTTTGTTGCAACATTTTATCATACGTGATTCGAGTGGCATTAATTTAAAATCTAATCTAAGTACTAATTATTTAGTCTATATACATTTTTTACGTGTATGAAAATTTGTTCTAGCCGAGAAATTTATCGTAGGGCTCATTCCACCAATGATCGAACAAGAGAAAAATGTCTCCATTCGGCGGCTACACGCACAAAGCAATTTGGCATATACATACAAAACAATATAATAAATAAATATAATAAAAAAACACAATATAATTAGACTGAGCTAAAAAGATTTGATTCGGAAAAATAATAATAAAAAATTAGAAGGAAATTTACACCAAAAAGAAACCAGCCAAGTGTTTTCACAGCGCCCGAGACTTTTTCGCGTATTTCCTCGATCTGCGAGTGCCAGAAGTTCTTCGGAACAAGAAGTAAGCTGAAAAGTTTGTTGAGTTTGTCTTCGGGTGAATAACGAGATTGTAGTGATACAGCTTTTTCGATGAGATAATCGATGTTGGCATCTTGTGGGAATTTGCCAAGATGCACGTGTAACAGACTGCAATCATCATCGTTTATTGCTAAAAGTTCGCTTTTTCGACTTAATATTACCTAGTATAAAAAGGAAAACCTGCTTATTGACTGGCGACCAACCAACATTATGAATAGATTTTTTACTTACTGCGGCGGTGAAATATGCGCACGTACTTTGCGCGTTCGACGCAATCATGTAATCAAATATTCGCGCGAGTTTGTCTAAATCGTAGACATTATGTGAACACCATGTCATTAGCCAGCTAATGCATGAGATAGGTTCGGGAAAAACTTCCGACCTAAATTAAGTAACAATTTAGAAACCTCTCGATATAAAAGAGAACGAATCAAACAAAATACTTACGATACTAGAAAGTTATATAATTGCGCATCTTCTTTCTTCACTAATTCACCTACTAAAGTAAGATTTCGCATGAAAGGCTCCAAAGACTCGCGTGCTGCATCTCTCAATGGTCCCATTACTATTTGTTCCGCAACATTTATGGCTGTTTCTTCGCCCAAGATCAGTAGCAGAAACGAGCATACGTCATGAAATCCCTAGCCATGTGAAAATGAATATATTGAAAATGAGTTTTAGATGTAATTAGTGATTTAAATTATTGAATGATCTGCAGAAACAGATAAGTGTTAAGTGTACCTGATAATAAGAAATATCTGGATGCCGCTTCAAAACTGTTATTATTACTTCTTGTAGTTGCTTTATTTTTTCCGTCTTTTCTATTGAGGATATTCCTAATTTATATTTGATTAAAGAGTAATTAAATATATAATTTTATTTCAAAAATTTAATTAGACTTTATAAAATGATACCCATAAAATCGGATTTAATATTAAAACTGGATTTAATGTCATATACAGTTGGAATTAAATTTTTAGAAACTCTAAATCCAGGTGATATCTATATACCTTTCGGAAAATGAACAAAGGAACGATTAATATCAGCTTCCACTTGATGTCGATCTTTTAACGAAATATCTTCTGCTCGGCCTTTTGTTCTCTTCTCGTCATCAAATGTGCAATGTAAAAGTAATGGCCTTAGCAAAAAATAAAAGGAAATTAGTTAATTGTGTAATAATTCTTTTTATAATAATAGAAATAATACAATTGTACCAGCATTCACGACGAAAATCCGAATTTATCAAACCTGGTCCAGTCGTCGCTATCTTTTTCAACATTTTCAAATCTGCTTCATTTATTGCTTTTCTAATTTGCTCGTGTCTCGAGTCCATGATAACGTAACTATAATATTCTAACAGTTGTAGAATCGTATTAATGTCTAAACTAATTCTATATATTATAATACATTTATGTGTTTTATTCGAATTTCTACAATAACTTGGACCCGCAAGAACCGAATAACTTAAAGTTCGTGGGAAATATATAAACTTGCAAGGATGTTGTGTACCTGGTTTGAGGTGCACGGAGCGGATCTCTTGTGATTTTGATGCATGCTGATGTAGAATGGGCATTCAAAGTTAATTAAAAAGACGAAATCGTTTATTTTTAGCAATGAAAAAATTTTCGATCGCCTTTTGTATTTCAATGGGGAAAATCAGATTTCAATTAAAATTCTATCATTGTATTTGGAAATAAGTGGAGATAATCAACTAACTTGTAATATCAATATTAATAAAAAAAATCAATAACCGCCTTGCATTTCAGCAATAACATTTCTTGCTCGATCTTCACTCATCAAGCCAAATCGATATACCATCATATTGAATGACGCATTTCCAGCAGTTAATGATCTAAGCGCGGAGGCATAGCCCAACATTGACGATAATGGCACATGAGCACGAACAATTCTTTTCGACTTACTGATCCCTAGACTTCCCTCGTGTTCACTATATTTATTATATGTAGAATCTGGGGGTGCATAAACTTCATTCTGATGTAATTTTTGTTCTGTATTTTCGTCACCGTAACTTATAGTCTCTAATGAGATGACGTGACCTCGACGAACACCGCTGAGATCACTAATTACCATGCCAAGATATTCTTCAGTTACTTCCACAGAGACTTCCATTAATGGCTCAAGCAGTGCAGGTGATGCCGATTTAACTGCTTGAGAAAGTGCTTGCGATGCACATGAACTGATTGCTGTTTTTGTAGATTCTGCGCCAAAGAGTTGCAGTGAATGAGCTTTAATACGAAGGCCAGTCAATGGAAATCCAAGTATCGGGCCACGATATAGTGCCGAAAGTATTCCATTACGCAATGCCGAATTTATTTCTGCCATTGTTAGTTTGGTCTGCATTTGTTTCTCAGAAGAGCTGGAAGAGGCAACATCATTATTCTCTAAGAAATTTGGATGAATAATTTCCAGCTCAATTCTATTACCTCCTTCCGATGCCACGCCTAAGTCATCCTCGGATAAAGGAGATATTGAAAGAGAAATATGTGCTTTTGCTCGTTTGCCCATCACTTCTTTATCATACAAATACGAAAAATTGGAGTGCTCAACAGTCGCAGTTTCGCGATAAGATATTCTCATTTTACCGATTTCCGCTTTCACTTTAAAGTCATTCAACAACCGATCTTTAACGATCTCCAAATGTAATTCACCCATTCCACTAATTAAGGTTTGTCCCGATTCCGGGTCAACGTGAACATGAAGCGAAGGATCTTCACGTAGTATATTTTTTAATGCTTCTTCCAAGGATTTTTCTTCAGACACCGAGATCGGTTCCACTGCACAGAAAAATACCGGTGCCGGGATATCAATGCTTGGCAAGCGCAGACTTTTTCGCGGATCATTCCAGTTTATTAATGTGTCGCCGGTTCTTGTTTCTTTTAAGCCAATTACGGCCCCTATGTTTCCGGTAGTTATCGATGGAATTTCTTCTACTTCATCGGCATACATTTGTAATAATTTGTTTGCGCGTTCTTTTTGATGAATATTCGTATTGTACAATGACATACGATTATCCAAGACCCCTTTAAAACAATTACGATAAATAAAAGATAATAAAATTTTTTTTCATATATTAATTAAGTACTATTATTACTTACCTGAATAAACTCTAATAAACACCATTGCACCACGTCGTTGATCATGTACAACCTTAAAAGCAAGTGCACACAAAGGATCTTTTTCTCGTAATGTGATCTGTGCAGCGCCTTCTTCACCCAAATTTGCCAAAGGTGCTGGTCTATCCAAAGGCGAAGGCAAATAATCCACAATTGCATCCATTAAAGGCTGAACACCAATATTTCTCAGAGATGCACCACAGAATACCGGTACTGCCTTTCCGCTCAACGTCACTCTACGCAATGCCTGACGAATATCATCCGCAGACACTTTCATGTGTTCTTCGGAAGCTAGAAATATATCCAAGATTTGATCGTCAAGTTCCGATAATGCTTCTACAAGACATATACGGCCTTTCATTGATTCTTTGTATAAGGTTTGGTCGGGAAAATTTTCAGTTATTAGGGTTTTTTGTATTATTGCGCCATTTGAATCTTTATCCCAATCAAGTAGCTGCATATCAAGCAAATCAACAACTCCATAAAAATCAAGGTTTCCTTTTTCATCAGTTCTCATCGCCGGAATTTGGCAAACAAGTGGCCTCGTTTGCAATTTACGCTGTATCTCTCTAACTGTTCTACCGAATCCAGCGCCAACACGATCCATTTTATTGACAAATGCGATCCTGGGGATACCATATCGATCAGCTTGCGCCCATACTTTTTGCGTTTGTGCCTCGACTCCAGAGACAGCATCTAATATTGTCACAGAACCATCGAGTACGCGAACGCTGCGTTCAACCTCAATTGTGAAATCGACGTGGCCTGGAGTGTCTATTAAATTTATACGGTGCTGTCGCCATCCAAATGTTATCGCTGCTGAAGTGATCGTGATGCCTCGTTCGCGTTCCTGTTTCATGTAATCCATTACTGTGTCACCATCGTCTACATCTTTTTTTTGTGGTTTATGTTTTTTATCGTTAGCTTTGAATACTAAACATTTAATCAAAACAACAGAAAACGCATGAAATTTATCGTTGCATACAACTTGCCCCCTATTCTCCGAGTAAAACCTGCATAATGTAACATTCGTTCTGTAGTAGTTGTCTTGCCTGATATTTTATTTGTATTCAGAAATTAGAACAAATTATTTGTTGATACTAACAAAAGCAAAAATTTTTGAAAATACCGGCATCAATATGCGCTATTATCCCGATATTTCTAGTATTATTAATGGTATACTCTATAAAAAAATGCATTTGTTAAAAATTCAGACGTTCATATTTGAACCTAAGTCCGCTAAATCTTTATACATCCTTACGAAAACAAACCTCCATTTACTGCTGAATAAAGCCTGCAAAATATATTATTTTGCCAATTGCCATTATGCTTTCTATATACGAGTAAATTACGCAAAATAGATTCACGCTTGAATGCTTTGAACATTTTTTCTGGGCGCAAAAATTTTCAGAGACGTTATCAACTCGCGTATGAATTTCCTTAATAAGCAGTATATGAAATTTAATAATCCGCATTTATTCAACCTAATCGACGATTTGTAAACTTTTCATGTACAAATAATTTTATTTTTTTTGAAATATCAAAATATCAAAAAAAGAATGGAATAAGATGAATTTCCACACACATATATAAAAATATATCATCGGCGCGCCATCGAACGCGACATTTTTTTAGATTGAAAATCTTTCGTCTTATGATTTGTTAAATTCGAATAGAACAACCTGAGCAACATCGCCCCATTCCCCCAATAAAAAAATAGCGCTGAGCATTATAAAGTTCACAAACGGTACATCGCAAAGAAAATATATAGTGTAAATGTTACTCACCGTTCCGTTTGAAAGGGAAGCCGCGAAGCGATATCTACTCTCATACATTTTACAGCTAACTTCATACACATACACGCCGCCAGCATTTCTTACCGTTTTTACTAACGTGCCGTCCTAACATATTACGAGATACCAAATCAATCAACGGTAAATACAAAATGTAAAAAATTTAACCAATAACAATGATAATACCTTTACACTCAAAATATTAACTGTAGAATCTATACAAGAAACAACCAAGTATTTTCCATCCGGAGTAAATATCATGGAAAAAATAGTGCAATTAAATGGAAAAGTGTGTAATAATTGTCCCGTTTTTGCATCCCATAATCGTGCTGTTGCGACTGATTCTGTAAAAGATGCACTACAAGAATTATCCAAGAATAATTAAGAAATAAATTTTACATGCAAATTCACATATCAAAAATCCACTGTTTTTTAGTTGGATATTTCGTTACTTACGTGGCCAATATACGTTGTTTTGATCCGCTGGGTATTGGACACCATTTTACCGTGAACACTTTTGCTTCGTGCTCAAGGGTATGAAGTGGTGTTGTTGATTTTATCGACCATATCTTAAAGATTTAATAATCAAAAATATGCATTACAATTTGCTTCAACGATACGAAAAAGTAATAATGTAATACCTTTGCTGTACGATCGTCCGAACCTGATGCAAGGTAGTTTGTTGCAGCATCCCATTTTATAATATTAATTTCTTCTTGATGTCCCACAAATGTTTTTATAACTGGATTTTTACTCGACTCAGTAGTACATAGATATATTTTTTTATCTTTGGAACAGGTTGTAAATGTCGTACTATCCTTCCATTCGACATCATTAACCACGTCTGTGAAAAATTTTAGAAAGCATTTAATTTTCTAAAAAACTGAAAATTGATTGATCTCGTTAAATGTATACTACCTGAATGACAAGTAAATTGTTGAGATGAATTTGTTGCTGGATTCCATAGCACAACAGTTCCGTCAACACTCCCGCTAAGAAGATTTTGCTTTTTTATATCCGACTGATTCTTGTTCCATCTTAGACCAAATACAACAGCCGTGTGTGGTTTTGATTCGTATTTTAATTCGCCTATTTTTTTAATATTTACTCAAATCATTAATTTCTCTAGGAAAATTATTAAAAATTCATATGAAAGAAATACCCTTAGTTGTCCAAATTCGAATAGTCCCATTGTGATATCCTGCGGCCAGAAGACTTCCATCTGCCTAAATTTATAAAATTTTTGTAACTTAAACCAATAGTTCCTATCATGGAATGAAACAAAACGCTACACACATTCCAGTCCATATTTGTGACTTGGTGGTCCTCTGACGACTGATTACCATTTTGCGGTATATCAAATGGGCATGAAATGGGACTTCCAATTTCTGGATTCTTTTCAGGTGGTATAGTCCAGAGAAGAACAGTTCCATCTTTTCCTCTAAAGGTAATTAAATAAAAAAGATAAAATTAAAAATAAATTAAAAAAATAAATTTTAAATTCTATTATATGTGTCTAAGATATATATACCCCGATGCCAAAATATCTGCCTCATGATTCCAAAGGCAGGAAAATACTTCTCCTTTGTGTCCAGAAAGAATAATCTTCTCATTTTCTGTCGTATTCTCAATGATATCTGCTGACATTGATCCGTTTCCTGTTAAATATGAAATTTTTAATTACCCTCTTGCCAATTGAATAATAACATCGTAAAAAATTAATTTAACTAACCTCGAGTTATAGTTGCTGGGATTTCTGCAAGTGGTTCGCGATCAATTTCAATATCTTCCATATTATTTGATAATATCTGTTGATCGTGCAATGATAAGATCTCTCGCGACCGAGTTTCTCTTTGTTTTTGGTCTCTATGATAGATTCTTCGATCTCTTCGTACAGTTGAATTTTCGCCTTCGTCGCGTTGATGCTTTCTCGATGTGTAATTGCACACGTGTGGCTCTATCAGTGAGAAAGGAGCTGCGCATTCTTTTTTCGACCCATCCTAAAAATTTGTAAGCTGACAATATAATTAAATTTCTTTGAAGAGAAAAATAAATAAAAACTAATTTCATTGTTTCCTCACAGAAGATAAATGTTTCTCGACTTCCAGATATATGAGTCCTTTCTGTAATAAACTGATTAGGTGGCCAGGTTCGACGTTTTCTGTTCTGAATTCTGAGAGTTGCAAGTGACTCTCGCTTTTGAAAACAAAAGAACTATGAGAAAACCCTAAAAAAGTCAATATTTTTATCTTGAATAAATTCCACAATAGCGAAGTATTCAAAGCCAAGGTGAGAAACAAATAATTTATAAGAACCCGATTCTTGTAAGTATCGGTAAATGAGGTAGTTTATTTGTGTATTGGTGATTCCCATAATTTGTTGAAATGTATAACGGAAGTTTGATGCGAATCTTTCAAATGCACAAATGCACTAATAATTATTTCCGAACCATAGTCTCCGAGCAGGTAACATTAATTAGTCCCCGTGATTTATCGAATCATGATATACAAAAATTCTGTTTCTTATCGTTTATTCAGACAACTTTTTATGGACGAACCTCTAAAACTATATCACGAAAAGCAAAGGCTATGGTTTTGTGGACAGGTTTTCTTTCATTCCCCTTAAATCGTATTATAGCCGCTTTCGCCCTTATTCATTTATTTTTTCACTATATCTTTTACAGCATACCTTGAATAATCTGGCAAGTATTTATTTTTTACTTTTGACATTTAATTGAGCGTTTCCCTTCCTTAAATTGAGAGATGATTGTGTTCTATTTACAATTTTAAATTTTACATCACAAAATAGCTTCAAAGAGCAGCTTATACAAAATCCGAGCTTGATGGTTTTGCAGAAACCCTTGACAAACATACTAGTCCCGAAGCCAAAACATGGCTTTCATATTTGATCAATCCGCACAAAAGCATGTTGTAAGTTATCTTTTTTTTATTACTTTCTTTTCGAGTTTCCTTTGTATAATTCTGATTTGACGCATTGTTCATCATTCATTTCCTTAGTGGATTGGGAAATTATGATGTTAACGTGCTCGAGTTGGCTTTGAAAAAAATCGGGCTAGAAATACAATGGTTTGACTTCAGAAAAGGTATTTTATATACGAAAATTTTTATATGCGATCTTTGTTTTTGCATTGTTTGAGGGAGGGTGAGTGAGGGTTATGACTTGTAGCTAGATTTAATGATCACGCATCATGAGAGCAAAAAAAAATTCAATATATATTTTCTCTTCTCAATATGTTGAAGAAGTATACGTGTGATGCGTATCTCTCTCTGTGCATTGCTAAGTAATTTTTCTAGGGTATAAATATGGTTCTGTGTGTTCCTTCTTCCCTTCCTTCCTTTATTTTCTCGTTTATATTGTATATACACGAACACATTACACAGACATTCGAACGGTGATTCAGTTCACGGATCCAACTCTCTTTGGTCTTATTTTGAATATTCCTTCTATCCGATTTTATTTCTGGAGATCCAATCACTGGATCGCTATTAAACCTTTTTTCCAAGAAGGAAAACAACAAGAGGATATAGCAAAAGTGTATAATCTGGATTCGAAGTTGTCGAGTCCTTATGAATTCGAGAATTCTGAGGAGGTAAATACGATGTCATTCCATTAAAAATATTTAACACTTCAATTAATAATTTATTTAAAAAAAACCAGGTCTATAAGTTTTTGGAGGGTGTCGTCTACCACAAGGGTGGCCAAATTCTACTCGTAAAGTCCAAATAAATGAAAAATGAATCCTCAGTCTCGGTCAATCATTGCACAAAAAAATTCATTTATTGATTGATTGATTGATGATTCTGTGTATGTAATAGTATTGTGTGACGAACTAAGAATAAGCTGACTTCCTCTTCCCCAAAATAAAATACCACATAATTTATTAGTCTTTTATCTTTTTTCCTTTTTGACTTAACACTTAACTAAAGGCGAATTTCAAAGTAGGTTGACTCTCGATCTATATATATATACTGTAGTAATTACAAGGATCTAAGTGAACAAGTGTTGAATAAGTTCTTGTCCTCGAGTCATTTATTTTCCTCATCAGTGAGGTTACTGAATTTTTTGTTGCTTATTTCTTCGAAATTAAAGATTAAAAAAAAGACGCTTTGTTTCATAGTTTCATTTATATTTCAAGTCATTTGAAGAGAAGAAGCACCCATACTTGAGATCATTTTATTTATTTATAACCAAAATAGCTATCTTAATAAAAACAATCACTAATTTTTTTCTTTTACCTTCGGTTAGCAAATTCATTCGACAGTCTGGGAATTTTATAAGAACTTAAATTGTGCGTCTTGTCTCATTTTTGGAATTTGGAATAAAACTATTACATTGCATCGTGGCGAATTTATAGTCTCTCTCTGCAATGGGCAAAGATTTTACTTCTTTATTAGAAGTTTTTCTCAATCCATACATTTATAATTCACTTTTATTCCGAACTTAATACATATCTGCTGTTATTACTACTATTACTACTGCTCAAAAATAATTAAATAACATTATTAACAAATAAAAACAACAACAATTACGATAATAAATATAAATAATACATACTAATGACAACAGAAAGGCTTAGTAGGGAGCAAACACAACTATCCAATGACGAAGACGACAATGGAATTATACGATGTATATGTGGATACTCTGATGACGATGGCTTCACCATCCAATGTGACAAATGTAAAATCTGGCAGCATGGAGCATGTGTAAATGTAGATCGTAACAAAGTTCCAGAGGAATACTTGTGCGAAGAGTGTCATCCGCGTGCGATGAATGTGCACAGAGCAAAAAAGCATCAGAAAAGTTTACGCGAGGAATTGGGCTCGGACTGGCGGGAACCAGAAATGGCCGATTCTGATGGACATGACCATGATATGAAAGACGCTAGTGATCATTCTTCACAACACGAGAAAGATAGTTTTGTAGAATCAAAGCAGTCGCGTAATGTCCATGGCTTTTCTCCGCTTGTAAAAGAGCGTGGTGGTGGTTCTAGTCCATCACGCTCAGATACCATTTCATCCCAGAAAAAACAAAAGAATGGTAAACTCATCAAACCGATTCGTGATTCATCGTCAAAGGAAACAAATAATAAATCAGACGATGAATTAGACGAAAGTGCCGATAGTGGCAGAGATTTCCAGGAATCAAATCCTGAGTATAAGAAGGTCGAAAAAAATGTTATAGCATCAAAAGAGGTTGATGAATTATTTCGTAAGATTTTGACTCAATATCAACGTCAAGCCCAGCATCGAAAAAGATCACTTTCAATGTCATCCAGTTCAAGTCCGATGAAAAATGACGATGGAAACTCGAATGAAATTATCGAAACACCCAACAAAAAGAAAAAAAGCGGAATTGACACATGGCAAACCGTTAATAGCGAAGTGAACAGTAAAGACGTCACTATACATAAATCATCAACGCAACAATCACCTTTTAATTTGTTTCCCATGGAACGAGAATCTTTGCTACGTCCCCTTATGAAAACTATAGTGAAAAAGATCAACTCGTCATCATCACGCCAAAAAGGGCAAATTTGTTATGGTCTCTTTGCAGAGACAAATGTTACTTCGGGATTTTTATTTGAGTTCAAAGGTCAAGTCTGTCTGAAATCGGCGTATAAATCTGACGGGACTAATCAATATTCTTTGTTGGGTGTAACGAAACCTTTTGTTCTATTTCATCCAACATTGGACCTCTGCGTGGATGCTCGCGTCTATGGAAATGAAGCCAGATTTATACGTCGGTCTTGTCGACCGAATGCAGAAGCCAGAAGTATTTTTGTCCCGGGTGGAGAAGATCAACAAGTGCATTTAGTAGTGTTTGCTAAATGCGAAATTCTAAAGGGAGATGAGATTACAGTCGGTTGGGACTGGGAACCAAATCATGTGGACTTAAGTTTGATTGAAAATGCTGAAGGATGTAGCACTCAAAATGAGATAACGATCAATTCCCGGAGGAAAAAGATGGGAGAGACAGCTAATGCCATACTAGAATTGACTGATTGCGCATGCGAGAACACTATTACCTGTGTGATTTATCGAATGCAACGGGAAGGAAGGATCAAAACTACAAAACAGAATAAAAAAAATACAAGATCCACTGACGATTCAGCGAAACTCAAAAAAGTTGGCAAAAAAGAAATGAAAAGACGTGAAATCAGTTCTCGACGAGCTAATAGTGAAGATCACAATATGGATCAGCCGGCTGCGAAACGAGGGGAAAAAGATTTGCCGAATAAACGTCCTCGGCGTACTAGAAAGATATGCGATGAAGACGAGGATAATGACGAAGAAGAGGAAGAAGAAAGTAAAGAAACTAATGAGGGAGAAATTAATGGTTTCGCTTCTCATTCTCCAGATGAAGATGTTGACACGAAGAAAAAAGAAAAAAAAAAGGAAAAAGCTATAACTAATGATTCTGATAATTCGGACACCCACGAGACAATTAGTCATGACATGAATGGATCCCAGTCGAACAAAGAACGAAAATTAAAAAATAAAATCGAACAAAAGAATGTCAAGAAAAAAATTTCGGAGAATGCTCGACGTTCGAGAGCTGATTCAACATCTAGTAATAAAGGGAAAATAAAAGTTGGCAAAAATTCATTATCAACTCCTTACTCGAGGAAGCAAGAAAAGTCAAATGATTCGGAACTATTAAATTCTCCTCCTTTGACATCTGTTGACCGTCGTAAAAAAAATCCAAGGTCTAAGGTAACCAAAGGATCCAACAAAAAGACAATAGAAGAGGCTGAAGACGAGGAGGGTGCTTATTTATCATCGCCAGTTTCTTCTTTGTCTTCCATAACAGACGTGGGATCATCTGAGGATCAAGAGGACAATCAAAATGCTTTGAATGGCAAACTTAATAAACCCCAAAAAAGTATACGTGTTTCTTCAAGCAATAATCAATCCCTGAGTTCTGAATCCTCCAAAAAAGGATCAGCAGCGACTGTAACATCATCAACAGCATCTTTTGGAGACGATAAACGAAGTGACGCTTCAAAAGAATCTTCTGAAAAAATCTCGCAGACAGTACAATCTCCAATGATCAGTTATTTGCCTCATTTGCCGCTCAAAAAATATTGGGCCCAGCGATATCTTGCTCAAAAAGCTGCAAATACACCAAAAGACACTAATGGTGCTGTTGGAACAATAAACAATCAGTCGGAAGTAGCAAAAAGGGCGGAATCATCTAAACAAGATATTGATAATATTAAAAACAATAAAATTGAGGACCAAAAAGAAGAGGTAAATAATAAAATGGATGCTGATAACCATGGAGAACGGGAAGTAATTGTCCCTCGAGCTACACCGATTGTTCCCGCGAAACGTGTGGCAGTCGATGATGAATACAAGACAAAACCCATTGTCAGTTCTGTGGATCATTTAGATTCTGATTCCATTAACAAACGTCAGAAAATTGAGACAGAACCACCACCATCATATAATGAAGAGGGTGATGCTTCAACGGAAATCGAAGAATCAAAAGAAACACCAAAAGATAGGATAGAGGCCAAGCAAGAAAATGAATTAGTGACATCCATAAAAAACCCTGAATCTGATTCATCGTCTTCATTATTAGTTCGACGTCTAAATTCAAAGAATCTTAAGGAAGAGTTTTCAAAACCTAGTCTTAAAGTCGCGAATGCAATTTCCGAAACTCAGGAATTCAACAAGAATTCTAGACCTTCAACTCCTAATCAACAAATTGAGCAAAACCGTACGCAATCATCTTTGTCACTAGCTTTACAAACCTCTGGAAATAATTCATCGCTAGCTGTTAATCAGAATTCAAATAAGAGCAATATATCGGGCGATCCTAATCAATCCTCTTCTGATATCACGGAAAAACGAACACAATCTATATCTCAACCATCATTCTCAAGTGAGCAGCAACCTAGCATGGTGAAACAAGATTCGATACCATCCACTAAAAATAATAATAATGATAGTAATCAGGAAACCATTCCCCATACGTCAAATCCCGAAACTCCCACTGTCGCTCCAAGTACTCCGACAAAATTAAAGAAATACACTTTTGAAGAGTATAAGGAGAAAAAAAAGATGGAAGAATCACTTCGAACTAGTGATGGCGATAACATTACCAAACGAACACAAGATTCCACTGACCAATCATCGTCGCCTCTGTTAAAAAGTAGTAGTACCAACCACAGTGGTAGTAATAGTGGAAAGGAAATAACTACAGAAAATCCAAAAGACAAACTCGATGATTTTAACATTTCTTCAAGCATATCTTCGTTTAAGTCACCAAGATTATCTACAAATCATATCACGAAATCTTCAATATCTCCCGCTTCTGATGACTATTTCCCTGAAGATTTACCTATCGATGAATCTCTTTCATTAGATACTAACAATAATTTTAGCACAAAGGTGAGTAATTACAAAACACTGTGATTCAAATCAATACAATAATAACTTGATTGATTTTTGATTTTTTTATTCAGGAATACTCGTCCCAATATGAAGAAATACGCGAAAGACGTTCACCAACCTACAAAGAATTCTCATCAAATAAACAGTCAAGCGAGTTTTCATTATCTTCTATAAATCCACATCCTTTTAACGACCCACCCATACCAACAAGCCCGCGATCAGGTTACACATCACCACCTCGTGCTCCTCGTCACAATTATAATGGTCCATTTCGTTCACGTATGACTCAGCCGAATGGCCCATTTAATAGAAACCTACAGATGTCACCTGGAGATCGTGGAAGATACTATAGTTCAAATTATTTCGGATCTTCAGGTGTATCTCCTATTAGTTCTTTGCCATCTACTCCAAGACAAGGAGCACCCCCATCTTTACTTTCTTCATCAGCATCCTCACCTTATGATCCTGCAAATCCAGACGGTCATCTTTCAAATGCTCAGAATGAACGAGACCAAAGCGTTATCGATAATAGCAATCGAGGTAGTCCTGGTATTGGCAGTGTGGATTATAAACGAGAATATCCACGACCTGGCGGAGATCGATTTGATAGTAGAGAACGAGGTTGGAATAATCAATCATATTTCCGCGAGAGGGATAGACGAGACTGGGAACGGGATCGAGATGATTCACGAAAAGAATGGATAAAGAGAGAACATTACAGGGAAAACAGAGAAAGAGATTATAATATTGCTGGCGGTGGAAATGGTGGCGGTAGTAATCCTGAAATGAGCCGGTATCCTATGGATCTAAGGAGGTCAAATGGCGGTGGCCATCAGGATCGATACAACATGAGCGGAACAAGTCTTCGCTCTCCTATTCCATATAGTGCTCGCAGGGATGAATCATCCAACACAACTCCACCCGGACGCATCGATATGACTGAAATTAATTCTGGATCGTCTCCATTGCCTACCGGACCTGCTGCTGGTAATGATTCATCTACGTCTAATAACAGTTCTATGCAGCGGTTTGGAATGGAGGTGAGTAATATACTTTTTTATTTTTGAATCAATACATTTAAAATAATAACTTAAACTTGCATTTAGGAGCACCGTCGAAATCGACGATAATGTATGATTGTGTATTCTTTTGAATAATTATTATTATTATTATGAGTATTGTTATGTAACATAAAAATAAAATCTAATCCTGTTTCTGCACTGTCACTACTTATATAGTTTTTATTCTTGTAATATATTTATATGTATGAAAAAAGATGTTTTTTTTTGTATTCGATACAGCATTGAAACCTATAATCAAATTCTTCCAAATCCTCTGGTATGTTTCACATGTATGTAATTGTTTCACATTTTTCGTGAAAATGGGACTATTTAATGCCTAACTGCATATTATTTCTGATTATTAACATAATTAGAGAAATCTTCATTTGCTATCAATTTTAAATTTTATTTTAGAAATTATAATTAATTAATTAGCAAAATGTTGTAAAATTTTATTTTAGATATTTTTCTAAGACAGGAGATTCCGCGCATTCAGCATTTTGCAGAAAATCAAACTATTTAGTGTCAAATTGGAATCACTTTTGTTCGCATTAGCAGGACACCTTAAAGTCTTCTTGGCCGTAACTATATCTGCGTATCAATATCCCATACTATTTGATAAAGACAACTTCTATAACAATAACAACTTGCTTCAGCAATCATAGGTAAAAGATCAAAGAACAAACAATCTAAAAGGCAGAAACGCAAAATGTCGCAAATGCCGGAAGCAGACGGTAGCGGTAAGTGGTAGTTCGTTTTAATACGTGATCTCATAATTAGCGAATTAATAATAATTTGCTATAGACGACTACTATGAACCAATGACTGTTGACGACGAAAACGACGAGTCCCCGTCCGGAGGTGGTGGTAGCGGTAGTGGTGGTGGTAGTGGCTCGTTTCACCAACAAGGAAACTTTTCTAATTTTGGAATGGCGAGTGGAAGCGGAGGTGGTGGTGCCGGTGGTAGCAGTAGCGGTGGTGGGGGCGGCGAGCGTGGCAGTGGCGGCATGGGCCTTATGTTCTCTGGTGAAGAAGGTTACTTTCCCCACGTCGCACCCCATAAAGCAGGGCATAAACATAGTCAAGGTGGCGATAAGGTTGTTGATCAGGATTTCTTTAATGGTTGGTATTATCATATTAATTATTAGAATTATTTTATATAGGAGAAAATTAAGTTCGTTTCTTTGAATTTCTTGATTAGATTTTTCGGATGACTTTGATGACGAGGATCTCAAATAACTATATTGCAATCATTATTCATACAGTGCATTTCACTTAGTCACCACCCTAGTTTTAAAATCTATCAATGACTTTTTTTAGTAATTAAAAAAATAAATTAATAGTTTATAGTTTGCTTTATAAATTTACGTAATTTTTTGATGGTTATCAGGTTAATAGGAATAAAAAATAAAGCTGGGAATAATCTCGTCTGCAAAGGTTGTTCGTCACGTTATAGTGTATAATAATGGCAATACTAGAATTTGGAAAGTTTTTGGAGCAGTTAGTGTGGTTACGAACTACTGATGTAATTACAAACCACCAGAAGTGGTTACGGACTATAAAGGAGAGTTGCAAGTTATCGGGAGTGATTATGAGGCTTCGGGTTGGGTTGGTTGGGTTATAACTGTAAGAGGCTATTAGTAATAGGATATCAAAATGTATATATTCAATGATTTTTTAACAAGAAATCTGTCAAATCTTTAATCTTTCAGATGTTGAATATTCTGTTGTCAAACAAGTTCTGATAATTCTGATATTGAGAACAACCAAATTCCTTTCAAAATCATACAAGAAAAATAAGTGTAGCCTGGTGATAGGTCCAATAGTGATTAGTAAAGATAGGAATGGGGAAGTTCAGTTTTTTTTGAAATGACTTAATATAATGTAATTGTTCTTATTTATTTGATTTAAATAAATTTGGTTTTTAAAAGTTTCAAACTAATATTGGTATAATGTGCTTATATCTTTTAATTATACTTGATATTTAATTATATTTATAATAGTATCTTTGATTTCTTTAAAGTTATTATTATATAATAAATCTTGAACTCTGCTTATTTGTTTATCATTAAAAAATATTATCAAGTTAATAAATCATCTTATTTAAATAATTCTTGTAATTCTGAAATTCAAGTTATTTAAAAATGTAAATATTAAAAGTTAAATATTATGCTTACTTATCAGCTTATTCTTATTTTTATTATACTCCCTTCTATTTATTTTGATTTACTTGTTTACTTGATCTTTTATTTTTGCTTGATTATATCTATTCTTATTCTTGTTTATACTTACTTATTTATATTTATTTATCTTTTATTTTTATTAAATTTATTGATAATTAAATATAATATCAATAAAAAATTAATTGTTAATAAATTTGATAAAAAGAAAAATTATTTATTTATTTAAAAAAGATGATAAATAAGAAAAATAATAATATAGTTATCAACTAGATTATAAATATATATAATTATTAAAGTATTTATAAAAAATAATAATATAATTATAAAAAATAATAATGATAAGAATAATAGTAATAATAATTAATAATAATAAATTTTAAAAACTAAAGAATCTTTAATATTAATTTAAATTTAATTTTTTAATATTTAATAATAAAATTATATATTATTTTATCTAATAATAATAATAATATATATATAGTAGCAATTAAAAATAATGTAATGCTTAAATTTTTTATTAATTATAATTAGTAAAATATATATTTTTTATATATATAAAAGTTTTTAATTTTATTAACAAATATTTTTTATTTTTATCTCAAAAATAGCTAAAGTTTTCTAGTTTAACATATATTTTTTTCAGAATTTTCAGATTTTTTACTGATAACTTATTCTAATTGTATATAAAGTTAATTAATTTTTACTAATTATTAATTAATAAAAATTAATTAACTTTATATGCAATTAGAATAAATCACCAAAAATTCTGAAAATTCTGAAAAAAATATATGTTAAATTAGAGAACTTTAGCTATTTTTTGAAATAAAAATAAAAAATATTTGTTAATAAAATTAAAAACTTTTATATATAAGAAAAATATATATTTTACTAATTATAATAGTAAAAAATTTAAATATTACATTATTTTTGATTTTCACTTTAGATATATATTAAAATTCAAAAAGAAAATTATAATAATAATTATTAATTAAATATTTTTATTATAATATATATTTATAAATATATATTATAAATTAAAATATTATAATATTAATTTATTCAAATTATTATATTAAATAAATAAAAAATCCAAAAATTATAAAACTCTTATATAAAATTTGCTTAATTATAAAAAGAAAATTTTAATCAAGAATTTAATATTAATATTAAATAAATAATAATATATAATAAAGAAATTCTTATATTTAATTAATATTTATTTAAGAAAATACAAAAATAATTAAATATACTAAAAAAATAAATAATAAATTTATTAAAAATGATAATAAGATAAAAATATTTAAGGTAAAATTTGAAAAAATAATTTCTTTTCTTATTAATTATATTATTAAATTATATATTATATTAATAATAATAATAATTAATATATAATTCAAAAATAAAATAATATAAAAATTTATATTTTTAATATATAAGAGATTAATTCTAAAGCTATAAAAAAAATTAAAAATAAGATTTCAAAACTAGATATTTATTTATATTATTTTAATTATAATCAAAATATTATATATAAATTTATATTAAAAAAATATATAAAAATAATATAACTAATTAAAAAAAATATTATTATATTATATTATTATTTATTTTATAAGAAACTCTAATACTTTTTTATAAAAGATAAAATATATTTAATATATATTATAACCAATTAGCTTATTTGTGTAGTGCAGTAGACATGATGCAGTATATAGTGTAGTCGCAGCACATAGCATAGTAATTATCAATCATTACTAAATTGGGTGAATAAGTAATTTATATTAATTAATTTAATTCTATTTTTAATTTATATTATTACCCATATTTAGCCTTATTTAAATATTAATTTAGCCATGTGTGTCATACTTAATTTATGATTTAATTAAATTAATAATTTCCTTATTAATTATTTTTATCTTTTCTTTCTTTTTTTAAATTATCTTTAAATAATTTAATATTTTGCTAATTTAAATTCTTTATTATCATGTATTTAATATTCTTTGTAATTATTCTTTAGTAATTTTACTTGTTCTTGAGTAAATTAAGTGAAACATCATGTTAGAAAT